TGTGATAGGTTCTGTGCAATTGAAGACCAAAGAAAATTGGCAGCAGGTCCCTTTGAATGAAAGTAATGAAAGTCCTTAGGTTGGTCTATTCATTATCAGCCCCCCCCCAAGCAAACAAGCCAGAGCTCATTAGAAAATGAAACAAATAATTTGCCAGGGTGGCAGGCTTAGTGTTATTATTCAGTCACGGTCCTTGAATCCGGTGGCATAAAAACAAACCCCGGCATCATCTGAGAGCTGAGATCAGGGTGACAAGGAGCTGATATTGCTCCTGCGTATATGGACGACTCGCAGGCCTGAGCCGGTCCATAAGTGGTAGGTAAGAAATGTGGTGTGTCCAACGGATGCCGTCTGCGTGGAAGCACGTGGAGCCCTGGGCCCACATCTGATCTTTGAACCATCCACCCAGAGCAAAAGCAAAGCTTGGAAAACACATCCCCCAAAGCCCCTGGTTGGGTGCAAAAATAAAATAGTCATAGTGAGACTGGCAGTCCCAGGGACTGTGAGAGCCTCCAGTGAGGACTGTGAACAGGAGTGAGAGCCACAGCTCCTGCAAACTGCCCTGGCAGCACTGACTTCAGCAAGGCTGAGCTGGCTTGTAACAGCTGAGGTTGTGGTTGGGGGAGAGACGTTGCAAAGCGGAAATGGGTCTGCACTGAGCGGTGGCCTCCTTGTTTCCCCCTGCTCCTGATGCACAGTTGAGACCGCTGGGGAGGGCAGGTCTGCAATGCTGCAGGTTGGTGGGTTTGTGGCTTCCTGCCTCTCACTGTCACTCTTTGGTCACGGCTCTGAGTCTCGGCTGTTCAACGAGATCCCATAACGTGACAGCAAGGGAGAGGCAAAATGAAGTGCACCACCCATCTCACGGCAGGCTGCGGTGGCAGGTGACGCCCACCCCGTCCTAGCAATAGCTGGTGAGACAATGAAGATAAGTGACACTGGCCGACCACAGGCCCCAATCTGCAGGCTCCTGGTGTCAACAGGAGTCATTCGGTGAGCTCCAGCGGGCATTGGATCAGATACCAATGGCTCTGATCTCCCGTGAGGCTCATGGGCAACTCCAAACCAAATCCACGCAAACCACAGGAGACACAGATACTTGATGCACAAATGGAAAATTAAAAACTCTCCAGCGTGTGACTACGGTCACCCAGAACAAATTGTGGAACATGTACCAACTTGATGTCCGACCCACAAATACGAAGGAGGTTGCACAGCGATTGATGCTCCTGACGCACTGGTCTGGCTCAACCACCCAAACGTAAAATTAGAGTTGCTGTTCTGTATCGACATCAGCCGTACGAAGGCTGCATTAGTGTTGACGCTGGCAGGTTGGGAATTAAACAAAACCCTGGCTCTTGCTCCCGTTTTACCCTTTGGGGTAAATCAGGAGACTTCAGTAAAGCCATTTCTGATTTACACTAGTTTAACTCGGATCAGCGTCCTCTCCTCTGACTTTCTTCACCCCCAGATCCACGTGAAATTGGAAAGTCTTTAGTGGTGGATTTGAAGCAAGACTCCCTTCCTCCTTAAGCATTGCTGAATTTTGGAGTGGTTCCACTCTAGGTGTAAACTGCTTAGGTTTTGGGGGTATACACCTGCTGATGGGATAGTATTCACCCCATAAGGATCCTCGTGCATTGCATAGCATTTTGGGCTGGCTGTTGAGAGGCTGGTAGGCAAAGGAGAGAAAGATGGGATTTGATCTGTGTGGAAGTCCCTAGGCTTGTCTGTAGTTGCAGATGACTGAATTAATGCTTCTTCGTTTAGGAGTGGCTGTGATTTCAGAGCACAGCAGCAAGGATATGAGCAAGAGGGGACCTGAAAAAGGCACGCCAGTGATGAATCACCAGTCTAGGGAGGATCAGCTGGGAGCTCCTTCCTTGCAATGCCAGGACCAAGGGGCAGGCAAATCATTTGAAACTGGTGAGAGACAGACAGCACTTCTGAAGCGATCACCCAATGCAACTCCCTGCCATGGGATCTTACTTACTTCCTGGGTGGCACCAGGAAGCTCCATGGGCAAAAGCTAGATCCTAGATGAGGATTTGGCCACTCCAGGGATAGCGACTGTTGCTAACCAGGTCGAAAATGCGTTGGGAATACTAGCCCTCGCACTAGACCACCACTCAGAAAAAAAAATGTTTTAATATATTTGTTATGTTTTTATTTTTCATTGTAACTCTATTTTCTATTATAATTTTATGACATTATTTTATTATATATTATAAATAAAATATATTATAACACAGTTATTTAGTGTTACGGTTTTGCATTTAGTTCTGAAGCCTCTTCGACGTTGATTCCCTGGCAGAAGAAGCGTTCTGGGCTGATACGACAATTTTGGGACCTCCCTGTACACTTGATGAGTTGTGGTCGATGCTTAAGAATTAGCAGGGAATTTATGAAATTCGCCCCGGTGCAATGACTCTCTCTGCTGTCGTGGAAGTAGGGGAGGGGTGCTGAGGATGACATGGGTACAGTTCATGGGACCATAGGAAGTGAACAGACAGAAAAGGCCACCGCTGCCTTGCTCTGTGAAGACCCTGAAGGTCCAAAGGAAGCGGCAACTGACCATGAGAGCAGTCAGACAATGCAAAATCTGTCTGGGGAAGCTGGGCAAGCAGAGAGGCATCAGTCCAGGATAGTGTGGAACAGGACATCCTGCCCAGGGTACGAGTTGATGACCCCTGGAAGGGTCAGTGGACAAATGACTCTGTCCGCCAACTACTATCTGAGCTGGTGTCACATCTCTTCCAGCCCCGAGACAAGGGAGAGCCAGTCACCCATGTGACTCCTTTGGGACACTGAAGCCAAGAAGATCCACGTCTGTCTGTTGAGGGGAGGGAAGAGCACTGGGCTTGGCCAAGAACAAGACCAAAGACTCTTCCAGGCCCTATGACAACGGATGGACTTGGAGAGAAGGACATGAGGCAGAGGAGGCCTGTTAAGTGACCCAGCTGAAGGAAGCTGGCTGTGGAAGTCAAAGGGGGGATTTCAGGGTTTGGTGAATCAGCAAGGAGTTTCTCAAAGTGAGGAGAGCAACATTAAGAAATGCCTGTGTCTGATTGCTTCCATCCTTACGTGCCCCCGGAGGTGTAGTCTAGCATGCCTGCAAGGTGGTGGCCTGGGACAGAGCGCAGCTAAATCGTCATGCTGCCTTTAGCAGGGTCCACATTGCAACCGAGCAGCTGCATCATAGGGACCCACTTCCAAAGCAAGGGATTAGCAGCAGATTTGGGGCCTTGGAAGTGTGCTAGAAAGCCCAGAGAAGGGGGCTGAAGCCTAGTCCATGACAGAGGGGGTCTTTCAAGAACACGGACCAAGCAAGTGGGCCCAAAGACCACTTCTTGCCAAGGACAGGAGTGGGATATAATCCCATCAACTGGACAGGGATATAATCCCGATGACCTGCAGGTTGGAATTGGGAGCTGGAGGGGGGATAATTTGGAGGGCGGCACCAGGAAGCTCCATGGGCTTGGAGATTGGACAATGGCTCCGAGTAGTACGTGGCAGCAAGCAGCAGCACTTAAATAAAGCTCTGGGTTGCTGCGGTCCAAATGGGGCCCCTTTATTGTCGCACAGTGCTCCTCGCGTGAAACCTTGATGTGGAAGGGGCCTCTTTAAGAAGAAGATAAAAAGTATTAGCGTTAAATTGCCAGACAGCCCTTTGTGAGGGAAGGAAGGGGGGGAGTGGTGTTATCCAGTAAAGCTGTTTAGCCGTGCTGTAAATTGAAATGATCGATAGGGAAGCGCACCAGAGTTAAACTCCTATAAAAAAACAAAACCAAAAGTGCTTTATTAAAAAAGCTCTGACCTAATAGAAAACTCCCCTGGGGTTTCCCTTCCCAGGGAAAGCCACCTCCGCAAATGCTCTCCAGGTGCACCGGCGACTCAAACATCACCCTGTATTGAAGCCGACCAGGCACAAAGGCCCAGCACCTCGCAGGCTGCAGGGCTGATCGGCCGAGCAAGCCCATCACGAGATCAGTCGGGCACTGAAAAGTTTTTTGGGTTTTTTTATTCTGGACCTGGGAACTGGAATAAGATGGGAGATGCCTCATCCAAATCAGAGGATGACTGAGCTGGCAGGCCCTTAGGAGGCCGGCTAGCCGGACTAGGATCAGCCCTGTCTGAACCCTCCCAGCCCAGCATTTGTCTGTCCCGATGATGGGAATTCCTCCGCCACTCTGGATAATCTCTTCCAGCACTGAGCCACCCTCATAAACGCCGGGGAGCAGGGGGGGAGCGTGACTATTTCATACCTCCCTCCAGTGCCCAGAGGCTTTTTCCAGACCTCTTGGCAGAGCCCAGACGCCGAGATCCCTTTCCAGAAGCAGAAAGGCAGCATGACCCTCCCCGAGTCCCAGCCCTGCCTCGAGCCAGGGGCTGACGTCAGGGTTACTTGCACTGAATTGCAGGGGCAGACCTTTATTCTCAGAGCCACGCTTAAAGAAAGCAGCTGAGAGCAGGCTGCTTTGATAAGACATTTCCTGGCAGACCAAGGGCCAAAAACAAAAAACAAAATAACTTTTATTGCTCAAAAAAGCCCCTTTTTTTTAACCTGAAAAACTGACCAGGACTAAAAAGTTATGTATAGGGTTTAGATGGGTGCAGGAGGGAACAAAAACAGCATGTCTATTCCTCTCTGATCCCTTTAACATATTCTTTTGAGCTGTAGCATTATCTATCTATCTGTCTATCTATCTATATCTATCTATCTATCTATATATGTGTGTGTGTGTATATGTATGTATGTATGTATGTATGTATGTATGTATGTATGTATGTATAGTTCCTGAAGTCTCTGGTTTAGAGCCAAGCAGGGGCGAGCCAAGTGGAAGGACCCATAGCCAAAAGATTTCATACGGCAGCCAAAAATGCTGCGCGTGTGCATGTGTGTGCGAGACACTTTCCCAAGAAGCTCGCTGCACGGTGAAAGGCCCCACAGCGTGGGAGCAAGAGGGAGGGCGGTGGGGGCAGGGAGCACCGCTCGCCTTTCTTGCAGGCGAGTTATTACAAGGACAGCTGTAGTTTGAGACACAATCAGGATGTGACATCACTGACAGGGGGGAAAAAAAAAGGGAGAGTCCGGCCAGAGTTTCTTTTAATGAAAACCCCAGGAAGGTTGTGGGCGCGAGAGTTTTCTCCCTGACACCCGGGCAGGGGGGCTTGAAAGCTGAACCTGGAGGGATTCAAAGCGGATCTCCCGGCATTTGCTGCCTTGACACAGTGGATTAAATTCTTCGGCTCTGACCGGCTCTGGTAGGAGGTGCGTGGTTTTTAAGGGAGTTGTTTTTTTTTTGCTCTGAGACTTGCCATCTCCCAGCAAAGTCGGGCTGTTCCTGCGGGGCGGTGTTGGGGAGCTCTGTTCCTCAGGGAAAGGGACTGGTTTCTGACGGTGGAAGGAAGCTAGTGATGGGGCTGGGGGGCACTTGCGGGTTTGATGCCATAAGCGGTGGGGCAGGGAGTGCAGGGAAGCAGCTGGCGAGTGTGTGAATAGAGGCAGTGTTGCGTGGCAGGGGAAGGGGTGGCATTCAACATGGTAGTGGAGGAGTCGAGGACACTTTTTGGAGCAGACGTGGTCTGAAGTGGCTGAAGTTGGGAAGCAGCGTCCAGTGTTTGGCAGGTCCGGGTGCTGTGTGTAAGAGTCCCCGAGGGACGCTCCAGTTCGTGGTCGGAAAGCCCTTGGAGACCATCTGAGTCACCAAAGAGGTTAATTGGGAAGCGAGGCCGTGCACCCTGGGAGTTATTAGTGTTTGAATGAGGAGTGCAGCCCACGGGAGGATCTCAACCCAGGCACTTGGTAACAAGCTGCGTTGTGGGTCTGAGTCTTTTACCAAACCCACCAGCTCCAGAGAGGCTCCAGAGGCCGGAGAGTCTTGGGTCTGGTCCTGCATCCCTTTTCCCAGGGACTGAATCCAGACCCCTCCGGGCTAAAACACAAGCGACTGCATCATCCCTCTGGCTTAGGATCAGCCCCAAGTTCCCCAGCTGTTAGCTGGGATGAATTCGTGTCCTCTGCAGGTCTGAGTCCGGCTGTACTAAGGGGCCATAGTTAGGTGCCAGGTTCTGGCCAGAAGGATTTGGGTTCAAGTCCTGGCTCTGCTACAAGCATCACATGGGACATTGGGCCAAGTCGCTTAATGCCTCCATACCTCCGTTTCCTGGCTGGAAAATGGGGATCGAGTCATATAATTATAGCAAGTGAGGGTGGGAAGGGACCTCAGGAGGTCACATCTAGTCCAACCCCTTGCTTCAAGCAGGACTGTCCCCATAATAGCTGCCCTGCCTCCTGTTGGGCTTGGGAGGATAAAGACGGAGGGGTGCTCGGTTACGGCAGTGATGGATCGAGGAGGGTCTTCAGCCCTTGTACAAATGGGGGGCGGGAGGGGTCCAGGTAGGATGCGGAAGCAGCCAGGAGCTATTACAGGGCTGGGGAGGAGGCAGAAGTGGGGGGCAGCAGGCAGGTTGAGGAGCCCTAGGCGGTGAGCACAGAGGTGGCGGGGGGCAGAGTCAAGGGGACCGTTGGCTGCGGCACAGAAGCCTTCTCGAGCAGATCTAGCTTTGTGTTGCTCGCGGAGGGGAAATGCAGGGGGGTCTCCAAGTCTGGAAGGAAGCAGAAAGGAGCAGCCGCGGGGGAGCAGGCTTCCTGGCAGTGGTGTTGGTTTTGGGGGGGCTAAGACAGGAAACCCCTGCCCCGCTCTTGCTGCTTCTGCCCCCACAAGAGATCTGGAGAAATCTCGCTCACAGCAGCCCATCCCACCCCCCCGACATCTTCAGACCTGGCTGTCTCGGGTTAGACCTCTTTGGGCTTTCCTGCCGGCCCCAGCCTATCTCACACAGGCCAGCCAAAGATAATCCCCACCTCCCACCCCTCCCCGCTATTTTTTTGGCTGGTTTCCTGGAATTTTCCACAGTTGGCAGGAGGCTGCGAGCAGCGGCCCATAGCTCGGCTCGGGGAGGCGTCTCAGCTGGGGTCTGCGGGGAGCAAGGAGAAGCCAGGCCTCCTTGGCGGGGACTTCTGCTCACGGTACCCGCACGAACGCCCTGGCCCTGCCACCCCCCCAGGGACAGGGCTGCAGGTCAGGGGAGGCTGCCCCAGGCCCCGTTCCTGCTGTATCCAGAGTGGTCCCCATCCATTTCCAAGCATGCTGGGTGATGCTTTGCCCTATGGCCGTCCTTGCACATCCCGATGCCGGGGCTCGGTTCCAAGGGCAGGGAGCGGAGGGAGTCAGTTTGTGAACAGAGGCTGTATTTAGTGACCGGGAAGGGGGAATTTAGCATGGATTTGCGAGCAGAGGAATAAACAGCACTGTCTGGAGCACAGTTGGGAAGCGGCGCCCTGTGTTTGGCAGGGTCTGGGTGGCCACGTGCTTCTGCGCCTTGCCGGCTGCAGTGAGCTTAAAATGAGCCAGGGGTTCAGGGGCTCGGAGAATCGGGGCCCAGCCACTAGTCAATCCCGTCGCAGGTGCGTGTTGGGACAATCGCCCTTTTTTAAGCTCCAACTTGCAGCAGCACCGCTAACGCTGCCAGTAAGGGAAGCCTCGATTTTTATCGTTGAGGAAAAGAAGGGAATCCCCTGAACGGTGGAAGCGAAACCGAGGGCCAGACGGCGAGGGTGAAGAGGAGCGGCGACTTAGCGTTGGAGGCAGCTGCAGGCCCCTGATTGCATGTCTGCCACCAAGGTCATTCCCACCTGCAACGCATGCCATGACCGCCGTCCCCCCTGCAAAGCTCACGCCCCGGTGAATGTGGCATGGCCCTCGACCTAGGATCTCTGGAGCATGTATTAGCTATCTTTTATAGAAGCAGGATGTGGGATGCCCGGGTCCTCCTGCCTTGCCCGTGGCAGGTTCAGGTGTTGCATCGCGTCGATGGTAGTTTCACGGAGAGTTTAGATTATGGATTTATATAGGATGGTTTGGATAGAGATGATCCTGTCTCGGGGTTGGACTTTCTGACCTGCCCCGCTTCTCTGCGCCTCTGAGGCTCATGAGCAGGGTGCTAGCCTGGGAAGGGCAAAGGAGCAGGACCGAGTTGATCCAGGAGGTGCTGCTATGCTGGGACACCTGTAGGCACGTCCAGGACTGCATGTGTCCAGCTGGGATTGATGTTGCAATGAGCTACAGGCTCTGAAGAGGCAGAGACAGGTTCAAATGGACACGCTGATCTTCGCATGGGGAGGAACGCCTGCAATTTTGCATAGCAGCCCCCACATGTTGTCATGTCTTCCCTTCCCACTGTCATGTTTGTGGCCTCATCTAATGGTCCCCACTGAATTGTTTTTCCTCTGTATCCTCCCTTTTTGGAAAGAGCAAGTTGAAGGGGCTGCCTTCTACCAGGCATCCCCATCTGAGCGTCTCCCTAGGAGTCAGTGCTGTGTAAGTGCTGCCCGAATGAAATTGGGTACCCAGGTTGTAGCCGTATTGGTCTAGAAGAAAAGGCAGTCAGGACTCGTAGTACAGATGCGATGTTTTATTAGACCAACAAGATTTTTGCAACAGAATTTTTTTTTCTTTTTGCAAAAATCTTGCTGGTCTAATAAAAGACATCATCTCGACTATGAACCCTAATGAAATGTGTGGTTTCATCGGCACTAGAGGCCTTGCTCTGTCCCAGGGTGTGAACAGCTGTTACCGCTGACTATGCCGTTCGGAGAGCGCTGCTAAGTGCTGCCTGAGGTTTTGGCGTCGCATGCTTGTGTGGGTATGTAACCGCCGGTGGAGGGGACGGACGGGACTCAACCCGCCGAGCGTTTCAGCCACCCTTGCCCCTGCTCAGTCCTATGCAGTATCCAGTTATGCTGCTTAGCCCATGCTCTCGGCCTCTTCCATCTGCTCCCGTCCCCAGTGAACTTGCTCCCAAAGTGTCTGCTTCCCACGTGAGTGGCAATGGGGGGCAACGCTGGGGTGGCTTCCTCACCACGTTTCCATGTTGAGCATGGGGGGCGTCCTTAGGCAGACACGGTTCTTTTATTAGATCAACTAAACAGTTGGAAAAATGTGTTGGTTTTTTTTTTTTTAAAGGAAAATTTTTCATGTCCAAAGTCAAATCAGCCAAATCAATTCCAAATCCGTGAGTCATGCAAAAACCGTATGTGGCCCTACTACCAGCGAGCATCCTCCAGCCCTGCCTGGGGCTTCAGACGCTCC